AGGCTGGTCCTTATGGTCCAAGGACATCATCATCCTTCTCCCGTCTGACAGTACTTTTGGACCGCAAGCATGGGTCGATGCCTACCACGACATGCACGACCCCAGATTTGTCTCATCTCTCGAGATCAAATCCGGCGCGCTTCAAGCTGCTGTGGCCATCGACTACCCTGCCGGACCATGGGGTCATCGTTTCGACAAGCTGCATGTTGTGTATGACGGGATCAACGGACAGCTACCCAATCTTGATCTACTCAATACCGCCATCAGTGTGGCCAGTGGACAGATGGGTATAGGCTGCTCGATCCAGCGCATGTTCAACACACAAGACAGGTACCAAGACCGTCTGGAGACCATGTTCCGGGGCATGATAAGCCAGGCATGGGGCCACGCCAGCGGTCCGCACAGCAGCTTCATACCGTATCACATCGACGCCATCACTCTGCAAACCGTCGGAGATGGCTGGCACGACGAGATGTCTCTAGGGCGCTCAGTGGAAGGTCTTTTCCGCAGTCTGAACAATCTACTTGAGCACTTGCATCAGAGCTTCTTCTTCTACCTGCTGATGAACGCAAACCGCTTCGTCAGCATCGGAACCTACCTACCCAGTGCAATGCTGGTTGCAGGTAACTTCACCATCACCGCGATTCTGCTTTGGATACAGAGCGGAAGACCTACAATTCCTGTCCCGAACCCCGCTTCGTCCGAAAAGGATAAAGAGGAGCCAGACGTGACACTCGTCAAAGAAGGCGATAGTGTTGCTGTTGTTCCTACAAAGACGTTCAGCGTTGCGGAGAGAGATATGTTCCCGCCCATTGCCATGGTCCTGAGCATGCACCTAGCGGGCCTATTGCTATTCTACAACTTCAACAATATCTCCGGGGCTGTAAGTGGTATATCCCCTACTAAGCTTTTCTCGTTGTACTAATGCTCTGCAGACCAAAACAAGCGTACTCTTGCCACTGATGGCATCCACGGTGATGGTTCCGATCAATGCCGCAAGTGCCTTACAACGAGTCTTCAGCGTGACGAAGCAGCACATCACCCTGATCCATTGCTTCTCGCTGCTGTTCCTCGGAGCGGCTCTGTCTACATTGGCAACTCTCAACTTCTCCCAGAGTCTTGTTATTGGGATACTTGCGGCTCCGTTGTCCTTTATCAGGCCCGCTTCAGGCCCGGGTATGAAGATGCTTGGTGGCCTTTTGCTGGTGGCTTTCTCGCCGGCAGTCCTGCTGTATGCGGGAAGCGTCGCTCTTAAAGTCGAGCCCCAGACACTGCTCGCCGATGCTGCGTGGGGGTGGAAGGTGGAAGGGATCTGGACTGGGTTGATGGTCTGGCTCTTGTGGTGGCCTGCGTGGGCTTGCGGAACTGTTGTGCTCATGAGCGGATCATCAGATACATGATCTTTTGGTATAGTAGATATAGACTGTAATATCTTCGATTGCCTTCTTTCTCTTCTAACCTGAGACGAGCCACGTCGACGCTCCCAGCTCTCGCTACCAAGTCCGATCCAATCTCATGCTCAACCGAGCCTCTGGCGCTCCAATCCGCACTTCCAATCCATCATGCCAACGGTTTACATCTTCGACTTGATCTCCTCCATCAGCTTCTGCAGCCTATCCTTGTTCACCTGCTGCTGCGGCCACGAGATCCCAAGACCCTCCTCCTCGTTCGGCTTTGGGATCATGTGGAAGTGCACCTGCGGCTGTCTTAGCAATTCATTCCGGGAGAATGTATTCGAAAGGGATATTCGCACGTGGTCCACCACTTGGTGGGCAAGCCGGCCATTGTTTTGCAAGATGTTGTAGTTCTCGGCGCCGGACGCCTTTGCGATCTTTTTCGTCACGGACTAAAGAGTGCGGTCATTAGGGTATGGTTCTCACATCAGTCTTCGTGGTGGGGAAGGAGGGCGACGTACGAGGATCTCGTGCAGTTGGTCGTCGGGAATGTCGGTGAGTTTTGCGCCGTGGTGCTTTGGGATGATGAGCTAGGGGTTCTGATTAGCGATTGTCTCCGAACGCTGTGCGACTATGTGGCTAGCAGTACCGCGTGACCGTAGCTCAGTGGGTTGATGTCGAGGAAAGCGAAGGTCTTGTCGCTCTCGAAGAGCTTCATGGAAGGGATCTCGCCTGGAAACATGTTAATGCTGCGGTTCAGGTGCGTTGCAAGAGCGAACACTACCCTTGATGATACGGCAGAAGATGCAGGCCATGTTTGGAGAAGCGTGCAGGTGGACAAGTGTGTTGATTCTATTTGAATGGTGTAAGTAGGCTCAGGTACACTTCGACTGCAAGCTGGTGGAACGTGGGGTTCCCAATGCCGAGCTCGGCGAAGACGCGGGGGTGCCGCTTCATGCGTCATTTCAATTGGTGCCATTCCTCAGGCCCGTCCATGAATATCATTATTCTTGCCTTCTAATCTTACAAGATTAACACTGCATATATGCTCAATATGCCTCTAAAACTCCAGTGCTTCCCAGATCATGATTGCCATTTCCAAGATTCGCACTCAAAGTTGGCATAGCACCTGAATTCGTTGCTGAGGCCCTTCGAATGCTCCGGGTAGAAGGTCGTTGTGCGAAGACCGGTCTTAGCATAGAGTTTGTTGGCCAATGTCTCCATGCGTTCTCCGGTGCAGAGGATCAAACGTTGCTCTATAGTCGAAGAGGCTGGGTCCCAGGTTTTGGCTAGCCAGCGAACTGTCAAGGCCGCTAGAGAGGGCGTTAGTTCTGCGTTGTTTGGCCTGGCGAGTGTGACATCCTTACCTTTCGTCTGACAGTCATCGCTTAGGAAGGGCGGATCACAAATGATCCTGTCAAAGGCTCCTTTCATGCTTGCTGGGGGCACAGTCAGTGCTGTCTCCGGTCAATGTGGATCATGGCGGCGTACGATCTAGTCTGAGGGGTTTCATAAAGTCGTAGGGTACAAAGTCATCTTTGAAGACTGCGAACCTGTCGTCGTATTCGAGTAATCGTAGCGTTGGTCGAGAAGGATACTTCTCGCGATCATTCTGTGGCAACGTCAATTGCGGCAAGCAAGTTTGGTGCCTTCCATTGCGTACCAGAAGATTTCGTAATTGGATGTAGACACTCGGAGCAGAAACAACCGCTATGGATGTCTCGCTCGTTGCGCCATCTAGTAGCTGCTCTGCGAGCGTCACCGCTGTCTTGTCGTTATACTATGAGAGGTTAGAGAGGCGACCTCCGGACTTCCAGCATGGCGAGGCACGAACCCAGAATTGGCTTGCATTCCAGTCCTCGGTAAACAACTCCATTGAGAGTTGTTTGGAGTCGTAATCATCTTCCGCTTTAGTCTTCAGGTCTTCGAACTGCTTCGCTCTGTCATCCCGCTCGCGGTAGAATTCATGTAGAAGGTTTAGGGTGTCGGTGGGAAGCTGTCTGGTGAAGGATCTCGATGAGCACGTATACCACAAGGTCATCTATATGCAACATACATAGCTTCCGCATCAAAGTCGTCCATACTCGTCGCCATTATCGTAGTATCATTGGAACCATTATTTCCTCTTTATTGCCGTTTGGGGGTCTAGCCCCGTGGCACTAGGATGGATCTGTAACTTTAAGCGAACGTCGACAGTCCATGCGCGGAGGGCGGCTCAGCCGAGGTAAGCGCTACTCTATTGCGCCATACCATGATTGTGATAGATGCGAAGTATTAACGATCTTTAGAAAGGTTCCAACAGTTCGCATTGAGGAATGTACAATCTGTACATGACTTTGTTACGACACCCGAAGTTAAGCTGTACTTGAAGCTGGGACGCGCTCTCTTGTATAGATCTTATCGGCCGTTGTAAGCCTGGGAACATCTACATCGCTACTCGACTGTAGCTACTTAGGGCCGCGTTCCCTTCTCGCCTATCATGGCCGGGACTCTTGTCCATCTCCCAGAAGTCGAAAGGCTAAGTGCTCGGGTCATTCGCATACTTGGTGGAAACCCAGGAAAGGTGCAGCATTTCCTTGACCAATACACCTGCAGGGTCTAACGGTAACAGTTCACTCTTCAAGGTAGCATTATCAAAACGAGAGTAAGTATACACGGGACTCATTTGCCATAGGCACAAATACATACCTTGTCGGTCAGGGACCGAAAAGGCTACTGATCGATACCGGGGAGGGCAAACCAGCCTGGCTGCAGTCGCTCAAGCAAGTACTGGCGGAAGAGCAGGCCTCGATCGAACAGACCATCTTGACCCATTGGCACCACGACCATGTCAGTGGCATCAAGGATGTCCTGAGCATATCCCCCAAAACCACTTTCTTCAAGAACCAGCCAGACGAAGGGCAGCTTGATATCAAAGATGGCCAAGTGTTCAAGACCGGGGGCGCCACTCTCCGGGCATTTCACTGCCCAGGTCATACTGTAGACCATATGGCTCTCATCCTCGAGGAGGAAGATGCAATGTTCACGGGCGACAACGTGCTTGGGCAAGGCACCGCAGTCTTTGAGGACCTCGCGGCATACATGGACAGCCTTGAGCGAATGCAGCACCAATTCGCTGGCCGCGCTTACCCCGGCCACGGGCCCGTCATCGCAGATGGAAAGTCCAAGATACAGGAGTATATCAAGCATAGGCAGCAACGCGAGGAGCAGATCTTGGATGTTCTAGCTCGCGAGCATCCGGAAGGTGGCTACAGGTGGAGGTCGATGGAAATGGTCAAGGTCATCTATAGCGATATACCAGAAAATCTGCATGCCCCAGCAGAAGGCGGTGTTAAGCAAGTGTTAGGCAAGCTCGAAAAGGATGGACGGGTAGTTTGCCACCCGGAGCAGGGGGTTTGGAGTTTAAGCAGCAAAGCAGCCCTATGAGCGGCTTGGGTTGTGGAATAACAAACTTTTCATCGAACGTACAATGACCTTGCATCTTGAGAAACATTGCCTAAAGGCGGATGACAATAGCGGGACGAATAGGTTGCACGACGAAAATTCTGGTAGATGACATTGGATGAGGTATATATTTATTTCTATCTGGGTTATTGGCTAATCTTCGGCGTGATGACGGAGTGGTTAACGTGTCAGACTTGAACGCTTTGGCTTCGAGCTATCTGATGCCTTCGGGCGCGCAGGTTCGAATCCTGCTCACGTCGTTCATCACCTAAGCCTGCTTGCAGGCTTCTACTTTTGCATTTTTTTTTGCACTCTCCATCTGCGAGTCCGGCCGCAATTGTCTTTGCGGAAGGCGAGTATCAATATCAAGGGCTGCGCAGACTCCAGGATCATGAGGAAGAAGAAGTTCGTGTATGGTAGGTTTGTTCATTACTTCGTTTCAATTGAGATACACATGCCAGCCGGTCTGGCTCCCAAACCATTTCCTTGCCAGCGCTTTACCACCCGCCGTCGGTTGACTGAAAGCAATATGCTCCTTCGGCACGACACACCCTCTCCGGAAAGTCCCCCGTGCACAGTCAAGTAGTGCTGTCGCAATACCATCTTTTCTGTATTTGTTGCAGCACCAGATTCTCGAGATCCCCATAACAACCGCGTCCGCGACACTCTCAAGCGAGAATTGTCCATCTGCTTGCTGTGGGCCAACACTGTAAGTTTCTCCCTCTTCTCCTCTGCCACCCACGATGATCGCATCTGGCTGTCGACTAGTGTTGCGACCGCTCTCGATCACCTTGAACGCCTCCGAAATCCGCTCTGCCAAACAGAAGCCTATACACCTCGTTCCCCGGACATAAAGGTACACCTTGTGCTTCCATACCGAACACCCTGCCTCCAACGCACTTCCATCCTCGTCTCCGGGCAAGGAATAGAAGTGGACTCCAGCCGAAGCCCACAGTTCCTCGTCAGGAATCGGTACCGCTCCCAATTCCGCTTGTACCAAGTCCAGTGCTGTACGCGCTCTTCTCTTTGCCGGATGTCCATCTGTTCCATCAATAGCAATGATCATGTCTCCATTGCTGCGGCGCCAGGCTGGCTTAGCGCAGTTCTTCTTCAACCATTCTCGTCCCAGATCCAGGCCTTCAACATTTTGCGCATGAAACTTCTTGTGTAGTGCCGCATCCTCTGCACTTGATGGCACATACTCCATGCCGCAGACTCTGCACTTCTTCTGCGTTGGCCCGCCCAGGTTGATTTGCATTTGAACTAGCCGAGGCTTGGGTTTCGGAGCTTCGTAGGTAGGCTTGGAATAAGCATTGTTACTGATTGGCGCAAACGGCTCGCGGCTGCTTTCTGAGATCCCTAGTGACCAGGACTCTATTGAGCTTCCGAGTTTGATGTTCGGCTCGGTTGGTGGGAGAGGCGGAGATGAGGGAGGAGTCGTCAATGCTGGTAGGTCGTCGGAGAAGGCTGCCTGATCGGACGGAGGGACAGAGGAGGAATTCGAGTCAAGTGTCAAGCCATCGCTGTCTAAGTTCTCTTTCCCATCCTCTTCCTCCGAGTCGAAAGATGCGTCTTCAACGCGTCGGCGCTTCAGGTGGTCTTCGTAGTCGGGAAGTCGCTTTCTCTTCGCGCTGGCATAGGTGCGCTGTATGAGTCTGCGCTCTACATTAGTGCTGCTTCTTTGCGCAATATATGCATTATAATCACCTGGAAGTCATTTGCCTGGACACTCGGTGAGCGATCCTTCAAAAATAACATACAAAAGGTCGCAGCTGGGTTCGTGGTTCACGCGTTGACGCGTTTGAGCGCGCACGTCACGCGTTGGTCAGCCCTACAGCGTCGGCGACTGCATTCGGCGCGGCCCGCCTCTCGCGATAAGATAAGGAGCATGCAGCTTAGACCGAACACGGCCGGCTCCGCTCCCACAGGTCATCCTTCATGTACATTACAGTACGTACTGGAAAGTGATATCGTGCTCTTCTTAGCGGGGTCGTACCGTAAGCACCTACAATCATAGCAAGATCAGACACCTGTTGTCTGCCTTTTCTGAACTTCGCTTCCAAGCCTCAATTGTTCTTTGTTCGATCTCTATCAACTCTCGTCTCCCGGTTCCACATTTAAGCATCCATTCCAATGCCTTTCCAAATCACGCCTCCGAACCGCCACATCCCGGTGGAATCCCTGACACATGCTTCATTCTCTTCATTCGGGACAGTCATTCAGAACCCAGCTCACGCTCCGACCGAGGCGCCCAAGAACATACAAGCAGTCCCCGCGAACCAAGGCTCGGCTGTCAAGTATGTCGACGTATCGTACCTCACGAATGACTATCATGTCGCGCCCAGCCGAAAGCCCGCGAGAGCGGTCATGAACATGTTCGTTTCCTCGCCTCGGTCATTGAAAGCCTCATCTTCCACATCGGAGAAAACGGTCTTCCCAGTCCAGATACTAGAGAGGCATCCGTACACACCTCAGACCTTCATCCCCATGGGTCTTGCGGGAGACGACAGCAGCACATCCTACCTGGTCATCGTAGCCCCCACACTACCCGCTTCTTCTCGAACCGCTGAAGGGAAAACCAGGCCCAAGCCATATCCAGCCGAAGCTCCGAAGAGAGGACGAAGCATCAGAGATATCTTCACCCGCGCCCGTCCCACACCGTTCACCAACACTCATGAACCCCCTGCACGGCAAGCGTCTCACCATCAGACCGGAGCGATGAAGCCAAAAGGATCGGGTCTGCCCGACCTCACTCAGCTTCGCGCTTTCATTGCCAATGGCTCTCAGGCTGTGACCTACGGGCCCGGCACTTGGCATGCGCCTATGGTTGTGTTGGGAGCGAAGAGTGTGGACTTTGTCGTCGTGCAGTATGCTAATGATGTGGGACGGGAAGATTGTCAGGAAGTCGAGTTGCAGCCGGAGCAAGGGGCAGAGGGGCTGCTTGTGGTGATTGAGAAGGACTCGGCGGGTAAGTTGACGACAAGGGCGAATGCACGACTATGAGACATCCTGCCGGAACCACAAACGTGAGAATGCAGACGTGGCTCACGAGTATCCTAAAACAGAGTGCAGTTTGCGGAGGCCTACAGTACTGCAGACCATAAAAATATCGTCGGTGTCTGGACCAGCCACAACACTAGTATCTGTACGCCTCATGAACTTTTCCTGCTACATCGAGTGGCATCAATACTCATTTACCCTTCTTGAAGACTCGAAGAAAGCTAAACTTGGGTTTCTTTTCACCCTCTGTTGCCGGCACAGGTAAAGGCCAGCCATTCACCTCGGCTTCCTTGTTCAAGCGCTCCATTTCGTCGAAGTCAAATGGCTGGGTCCATTTATGTAAGGGTATCTCACCGAGCTTGGTCCCAGTGCTGGCAATGGAGAAGAATGTTGGTGTCTGTTTTGCACTTCGTCGACGAGGGACACCTGCGACAGCCGGAGCACTACCTGGTGGGAGAGGCCTAGCCAACGTCGGCGCCAGGAATGGCTGTTCTGGAGTCGAGACCTCCACAGACGGAACGTCCATCCAGGAACCTGCCGGTAGCATGTGGGGCTGGGCAGGTGGATAATTGCCCAGGGCCCCTGGCATTGCAATGGGATTTGGGCCTTCGCGAATCATTCGAGGAGCGTGGGGTGGTTGGTCTCGCTCTGTGCCCTTCGCCATTTGCTTCTTACCATGAGGCGAAGGTCCCCTCGTCTTCGTTCCGCGAGACGATATCGGTCCTGCCTTGCTAGACTTATTCCCGTGCCGGACCATCACGGCCAACTTTGGCTCTGATGATCCCTTCACCGCGACCCTTACGACTTCTGGCTCTGCAGACTTGGACGAAGACCGCGACCTTCCGGGGCCAGATATCGCCGCACCGGAAAGCGCTAATACTCGGGACGTGCTCCGCTTCCGCTTTCGTCGTTCGCTTGTGGACGGTGGAGAAGGTTGCAACATGTGCTGGCGGGAGAGCCTCTGATGCAGCTGGTGGAGCACATCGATCGTCTCGCGCCGGGAGTCATCAGATAGGCGCGTTAGACGGCTATAGTCAAGCTTCCGGCTTGCACGTCGCTTGTCGAGGAAAGATTGTATGATGTCCACAAGGCCAGTGTTTAGCCTCAGCAGGGTATTGACAAGAGCAGCGTGCGCAGTCTCTGGAAACCAACATGTTAGTTGTCGTGGCCCAATACCAATCAAAACTGCTTGCGTGATGGTTAAATAAGCCTTACCATCACCGACAGCGAATCTCTTGCCAGCGCGCCCAAAACTTCGCTCGTACTCTTGTTTCACGTCCGTGTGGCCCTTGGCCAACGATCTGCGGAGCCCTTGTTCCTGTTCGGCGTCGCGGCCTAGATCTCGGTCACGCTGTTGCTTTTTCGCTCGTCTGGAACGGATCCGTCCAAGGATGTTGATGCCGTCTACGAAAGCTTGGACGATGGAACCGACGGGGCCTGAAACGTCGGAAGGGTGGCTCATAGTTGCGGATCGTCGGCCGATCAACAACCTAAGTTACATGTAGTTTATCCAAAGTAAGAGATAAGTTCGGTCTGCTAAGCTAAGATGCTTAGACGGCTACAGGATAATGTCCGTCGTATATGTTACAGCAGGCGAGTATCAGCAAGGACGGGACTTCTTTCTAGTGTCGCAACTTGAGACAAGAAGCTTGAGCGGATGTGCCCTCGAGGCAGCTTGTCGTGCCGACATGTTGGCCCGCCCATGCAGGGCGAGAAAGGCAGTCTGCATGTGCATTATAGGCTTCAACGCGTTTCTTGTCCACGAATCACTCCACTGCTGGACCGTGGACGCATACCGAAGCGCCCGCGCTGGGCCCATCTGCAGGGTTTCGAGATTGCGCGATTGGCTACCGAGCCGTAAAGCGGGCAAACAAAACCGACTGCGCGCATATGTCCCATTCTGCGAGCACTGGGGCGTTTGCTATCTCTCTCCGTGCTATGAATGGAAGCTTCCAATAGACTGGTGGTCTGGAACTTGAGTATGCTTGTTATTTAGGCGATGTTCGCTTGGTGGTTGTGGATCTGTAGATCGGAGCGTGCGTCCACGTGTCGTAGGCTTTGCAGATCAGAAGGGGTGGATCTTGTAAGCCCCAAAAGGATTCACACATGGCCTTTTGTTGGAGGCGTGCTGGCGGCGATTTCATTTTCCTGGCCAGACTCCCACGGCCCTATATAAAGACTTCAATAATGCATTGTATACTTTGAGGTACATGTAAGGGAGTGGAATAGCATGAAGCTTACCCCGCGTCTTTACTGTTCC